GTCAAGGTTGTCGTAGGATCTTCTTCTCTCTTTAACGGTCATTGCACGTTTATCTTTCAGCTGCACTTCCCTCTTCCCACCAAAAAAAAAAAAAAAAAAAAATTCACGAAGAAAAATCATCAATTCACCCAAATCACTTTTGTTCTTTCACGTTTGAGTTTGGTCATCTGCCCTCCATTATCCACACGCATCCATCATCCCATCACCATCTTCGCTACAACACAAAAACACCACAGCCTCTCTACTTTGGTTTCTGCAAACCAACACTAAAAAAAAAATAAAAAATAAAAAAACCAGCAAATTCAGCTGCCGAGCCAATTTAGCAAATTCAGTAAATTTGTTCCAATCCTTCTACTTTGTGAAATTTTCACACCAGTCCTTTTGAATTTTTTTGTGCAAATTAGTCCAATAACTTCTAATTTGTACAAATTAGTCCTTGATCTCTGTTTCTGATTCCTGCATTTGTCAATTGAGTCTTTTTCTTTTGCAAACACTTAATAACACACAAAAACACAACACACGAATCCCCGCCGGATTCTCTTCGGCTACATCGATGCAAACACATAATATATTATTCTCAATTCCCCACCCAACCAACCTTTCTCTTTCTATCTCGTGTGATTCTCCCTTGTCATTGCGTGCAATCTTGCTGCCGCCGACTTCTCTTTACTCTTTTTCTTTTTCGCGCCGTCTGTACTTCGCTTCGTTCAAATAAGGCATGTAACATCGCTGCCTCTCCCTTACAACTCATCCTTCGGTCGTGCTGCATCCCACCAATTATCTTTCGGTCGTGCCGCATCTCTTTCTTGCACCACCGTCAATCACCTTCTTATTCTTATGCTGTTGGTGGTAGTTTCCTACTACTGTTCGCTTGTTGCTGTTGTTGTTGCATCGTCGTTCACCCTGATTCTTGGACAAACTGAGACTACTACCTTCTCTGTCATTAGTTTGAGAGGGCGTGTCAATATAATAATGATCCCATGTGATAATTATCTATAATTGTGATAATTGTGTAGTTAGTTTTATCTTATAGTTAGTATTATCTCATGTGGTATCTACTTATAGGTTCCTCTATATAAATCATATGTAATAGCCATTGATTATGCTTATATAAATCATTCTATTTTTTAAGTATCCCATAAGAAATCCACACACGCAGTTAAAATCAAAGAAATTTTCTGAATATTATGATTATGTAAAAATCAGAACACAGGGAGTATAATTGCGCTTTTTAATGAAAAAAAATAAGATTAAATTGCCTCAGCAAAATGATAGAGGATTTTCATATAATGAGAACCTAAAAAATTACAGTATATCGTTTTTTTCATATTCACATGATATTTATCTACTGTCAATAACAATTAATCTCTCGCTGAAGAGTACGATAGACTATAAAATGTTTACACGTTACAGTTTGCAATACTTGTTCGTAATCTCTTATTTATCCCCGTTCTCGCAAGTCGCAACCATTTTAATTAGGAGACCTATTTCCTTTTCAAATCTCTGCCTTCTTAATTTATCAACAACATGAAGAAAGAAGCAATCTTATCCGACTCAAATTTAGATTAATCAGAGCAATGAATTCGGAAACTAAATAGATATATATATATATATATAAAAGATAAAGAAAGAAGAATTGAAGAAGAAGAAGAAACAAACTCCTTGCCATTGCCTATATGCATTCGAACCAATGAAAGAAGAACTCTTGACTAAGAATGAGAATGCAGGTTGTGGTTGTGGATGATCGTTGAAAGAAAATGGTGAAGTATAAGAACGGAAATTACTACTTGTTACATCACATTTGTCAAGTTTTCTTGTAGCTGATTAATTTTTTTACTAGTACTATAAATAAGCTAATTAATTTCCTTCATTAATTCTCTACATGTCCCAAATTGATTCCCCCAATTTGGATTATGATGTTTTTTGTTATATAATTTGTACTAGAATATTTATAAATGAAAATTCAAATTAAATAATCATTTCGAAAGGAGACGATTAGTGAGTAGAAGTTGATGTCCCATTTTGGCTGTAGATCACCGGAACCTTTTTCTTTAATGTCCAAACTTGTGATTTTTATAGAAGAAAAATGATGAAATAGAAAAAGAAAAAAACAGGATATAATTATAAAGATTACAAAAGACATGTTGCGTATATGCAGATGTTTCCTCCTCCCAGTGCACTTGGGGCCTTCAGGTTATAAATACATAACAACAATCATGCATAACCAGAGTCGCAACAAAAGCAAAAAGAAAAATAAAGGCAATCCACTTTTGTTTGTTCTTTTAGTTACTACTCAATTAATCTTGAGTTGAAATGGGCATTGGTAATAAGTCTCAAGTTGTTATGATGGCAAAGCTTATTGCCATTCTCATTGGCTTACTCATCCTCATTACCACCGTCGCTGGTACTTTCCCCAATTTTTTCTATCTCTCTCTTTCTTCTGCTCGTACTTTTTTTTTCCCGATCTTTTGTTCATTAATATGTGCTGATTTTTTTAACCCAATTTCGCACACTGTTGTGTATACAATTTTTAACTTGAGTTATTATGCAGGTGACTGTTACCCCAACATAGCTTGCGGACCGGTTCCTTGTGGTCAATACTGCATAAATTTCCCGGCGTACACGTGCCAGATTATCAACAATCAGGCAGCCTGTTGCTGCGTATCTTAATATTTCCCCGTCTCCTCTTACTTTGGGACGATTCATGATCACAAGAATATGGATTAAATATATATTTCTTCCGTTCCAAAATTATTTTTTATTTTGAATTTTCAGTTTTAGTTCAAATTGTACTAAAAATGAACATTCAAACTAAAAATAATTTTTAGACAGAAGAAATATCGTATAGTGTATAATTTTATCTGGGGTGCCTTCAGGTCTGTAGTTTTGGTTCCTGGGGTGATGCAAAATTTATTGATGGGAGCAACCATTAATTAATTTTTGCAATCATGTAATGAATAAATTAAGGGTGCCCATTGTAACGTTGTATATATAGTCAGGGCATCGATTGTGAAGTGTGCTGAGTTTCTTAGCATATTGTTTTTGTGCTTGTGACATACGTATGTACTATTTGTTGGACTGAATAAAAGTACTGGAAGTTTAAAGCTCGCCAGGAAAAAGATAAAGACCGTCATTAATCAATAGTTGACTTTCAATTTTACCCTTATATTAAAAGTATAAAACTGTACATTCCAGTGTGCAGCGTGCACCGGATATTATTGTTTTGTTACCCTTCTTCGTCTTTTTGCTACAGCGTTGAAAGGGGAGTAAGGAAAGTGCATTTATATGTAGTTGATATGCATGCTGTGGATCCGAAGATTGACTTCCTGTCCAATTCTTTCATGTTACACTGTATTTATAGAATGATGATTATATTCTTTGATCGTTGCCTATATTGTTCTCCTTACCCCATTCTACTTAAATTGTAAATTTTTTTGGATTTTGATCAAACAAATCAAGGCTCTTCAACTGCTTCTAAATTTTATCCTTTCCCCAAAAACATTAAAAAAAAAAACAAAAAAAGATGTTCCATGTTTTTAAAGTTTCTTTTGCGCTGAATAACTGATAATTTAATTTAATTTATTTTTTGAATTTGTGTAGTCATTGAAAAAGTGATCATATAGATTAATTGCATAGAGGAATTGGGTTTCTTAGTTATGTGACTAAGATTTTTTCTACCAATATAACACTATCAACATAATCATGGGAGAATACATAGAACCCTTTGTTGTGCTCTAAGGTGGAAGGACTATAATTTGAAATAGAGTGATAGTATTTTTGTAACTATTTCATATCAACAAATGTTCCTTAGGGCTCTCTTGTGGTATATTAATATAATCCTTATTATTATAAGCAGTGAAAATCGAAATTTTATTAACAGTCTAGATGAATAATAATAACGTAACATTTATCTTTCAATAAAAATAAATGACCTAAATGATTGACGTAATAACGTAATTAGCTGATAATCTTTCAACAATAACGTAACATTTTGTTTTTGTGTTCTTAGTCAATCGTAATCTTACATTTATCTTAATCTACACAATTGTTGTTCTTAATTGCTAGATGCGACGAGAAACATATGGAATAGAAAATCATGGATGTGCAACATGTATTCACAATATGTATAACCCTTTCCATCTCAATCAAAACCTTCCTACCAACCTTAATACACTTGCTAGACTACCCCTCTTAATACTACAATAAAAAAATAAAAAAAAAAAAGGAAAAGGACGAGGACTTGAAGAAGAAACAAACTCGAACTATTGACTAAGAACACAAAAACAAAATGCAGCTTCTGGACAGTCAATGAAAGAAAATGGAAGCGTATAAGAATGGAAATTACTACTTGTCAGATCAATACATTTTTCAACTTTTCTTTAGCTGGTTAATTTTTTTTAATAATATAATAATCCAATTACAAAAACACGAATTTATATTCCATCTTTACGTCGAAATAATTGTCTAGTTTGAATTTTTAGTTTTAATTTATATTAAATTAATAAAATTAAAAACCTATACTGGACAATTATGTAGAGATACAAAGGAAGTAATTAGTAAAAGTTGACGTCCCATTTTGGCTGTGGTTACGACACGCTATCTGAAATTTGAATAGACAGATCACCGGACCTTTTTCTTTAATGCCCAAACATATATATCTATGAAAAATGTAAAAACAATAAAATGATTCAATAACACCTGAAATTATGATGAGAGCAAATGTTTTTCTCAAAAATAGGAAAAAAAATTAATCACATTACATATATGTCGGTAAACAATTTTAGACGGTTTATCCAATGTCTTCATTATTACTTTCTATTTTTATATCCTTAAAAAGAGCAATATAACAACTGATTACTAGAATGATGATGAATTGGCTAGAAGATATAATCGAAAAAAATACCTTTTTCTATCAAATTAACTAAAACATTAAAGTTGTAACTAGTTTTGTTGGTTATTAAGACTATTGGTGAATTTTCTTAAAAATTCAAGTGTCAAATATATGGAGGACAATTTCCTGCATTTATAAATGAGATCTAATTTATTCTTTCTTAAGAATTTGGGCCACTGAACGAGGCCCAAACACTTGGGATTGGAACCATATATCCATCTGATACCCTTACCCGATTCCTTCTGTAGCGGGTAAAAATAATCACCGATCAGCCGGCGGAAAACTTCTGGTGGCGCCGGTCGGCAATGGAGCCCTCCGTTAAGCGCCGGAAAAGAAAATACCGTCAGCGAAGAAGAAGCGCCAGGAGAGAACATATCGACGATCAGAGAAGAAGCCCTTGGCAGCTCCGGAGGAGGTAAAAATTACTTTTAAGAAACATTTCCATTATCTTCTTCGACTTAGGGGGCTCTCTTGTGCTGTACGGTCTAAGTGTTTTCTTAAACTCAAATTTTCTGAAAAGGGTTTTTTCCGTACCTTTTTCTTTTTTTTGTTCCTCTGTTGATTTCTTCTATAATTTAATTAGCTTCTGATTTAAATGTTTTCTCTGTTTTTCTTGGTGGTGGTAGTACAGTTGGATGATGTGTTTCCTCAGGAAGAAGAGGAAACCAATGTATGCTGCAAGATGGATTTTTATCGATCGCTTAAGAAGGTAAAGAGACGAGAATCTGTTGTTGCTTTTATTTGCTTCTTTGAATTTGGTTTCTTTTTGCTCTTCTGTTGATATGTAGTGACGGAACAAGAATTTTCAAATCGTAGGTCGAAAATAGGATTATTCAATGGTCATAGGAAGGTCGAACTGAAAAAATTTAAATTAACGGACACCCTACTAAAAAAAAATTGGCCAAATCCGACTGACCGGGGGGCCGATTGACCACCCTGACCCCCCTTAAATCCGTCACTGTTGATATGTATGTATGTGTGTTTGCTACTGAGATATAAACAATTAGGCTAAAATCATTTCAAAAAATTGACAGGTAGGTTTCTCTCTATCTTTTGCACAATCAACCAACAATATTAAACCGGTATATTATTGGCTAATATTTTTATAGTTTCAAGCAACTTCAATTCTACTTACACATCTTATGACGTGTATATTGCGTCTTTTAATTCATTATGGCAAAAAAGTTTAATATCTACACTCATAACAGATTTTCATTTCATGATCTTTATTTTCATTTATTACTAACAACTGTAGCATAAGCAAATTTCATGTCGACATTCTATTGCCAATCGATTTCGTCTTTCTTTAGTAATGAAATCTCACAATCACTAAATTTTTAAAATATTCTTGTTCTTCTTCTGGAAGTTTATATTTACAGTATTAGAAAACCATTTAATCACTCATATTTACTATCTCAATAGATTTAAACTTAATAATTTACGAGGATTCTTATCATTGGAATCGATGGTTCTACCACTTATAAAATGGACATTAATTTAAACAATAGTGGTAGATGATCCTTCAGGGATGTAACATCAAAATTTAAACATTAACAGCCTTTTGCACGTAATATACTTACACGTTTTGGTCATATAAATATTTGGTCTTAAACATTATCTTTTGAACTTCAGGTTCATATTATTGAGGATCTAATGAGATAATGATGTCGTCTATTTAATTTATTAATCATCTGTTTTCACTTCTCCCCCTGATGTTGGGATAACTAACTCGTCAAATTGATTGTTAGTCAATCGAGTAGCAAATAGATCTCCTCTTGGAGTAACTAACACTTCAACACAATGAGCCAATCGAATAGTAAAACCTAACATCAATAACCCCAAAGACTAGAGGTTCAAAATCTAACATATATTCTTAACCTCTTTCAGGGTCTCCATCTTTGTGTGCATTGTAGTGGAATAATTAATATAAATCGCATATCTAAATTTTGAAGATGGATACGTATGGTTCCTGACCAAAAATCAATGTATGGGATAATTTTTTCTAATGGTCCATTTGGGTTTATGCATATTGTTGATGCATTCTATATTTCAAAACGCCCTCACTTGTATATATGGGGTGCTTACTTTCTTTTTGAACACATTTAATGAACGATTCTACTGGACTGTTTCACTTTTGCTTGTATATCTATATATTATACTAAGGCAAAAATCAGAGAGAGAAATCTAAAGTTAAGGAGCACATGCCACATAGGATATCTATATATTATCCTATGTGGCATTTTCTTATTTTTTTAGATATAAAAATGCACAAAAAAAAAAAAAGAACGCAACTGAAAAAATCCAAACCCTATATTGATTTGACCAAATCCCTGCAAATCCGACAGACGGATCTCTTCCTCCTAAAAAAAAACGCAACTAAAAAAGAATTTTATATTAATAATTTATTAAAATAATTAAAGAAGTTAGGCCAACCTAAAACTTCTATAATTTAGCTTCAAATATGGAATTGAGTTAAAATACTATGGTGATGGGTTGATGTAGCGGGACTTAAAAATCTAACTTTAACTCGAAAAAAAAATGAGCAGGATAGATTTGATATTTGCGAAAGTGTCTACAAAGATATTAATGAAGAAAAAAATAGGTAAATGATATTCTTTAAGGGTAAAAAAATAGTCCCGCCCTCACATTTTAAATAAAATATTTTTGACAACAGGTAAGTTAATTAAAGATAAATTATTAGATAGGTAATGAGAAATAACTAAATCAAACGAACAAATGAGGCTAAAATATAAAAATGAAGGAAAGTGAGAATGCATCATATTTAAAAAATAAAATAATAAAATAAAAACACTGAAATCAAAAGTCACACCGAAACAAGGAATAAAGGTCATGATATCCAATTTTTTTAATTTTTCTTATTAAAAAATTAGATGGCCTCTACAACAAGTTAGGGTTGTTGTTTCTGTAGTAACCATTCCTTATCATAAACCTTTTCAAAAAAAATAAAAAACTCCTTATCATAATTTCTTAATCACCCTAGCCGACCTTTCTACCCCAGACTACCAATGTAGTCTACCAAGAAATATTGCATGATATATAATTATTTAATTCAAAGTTCATTTTTTTTAATTTCTTAACAATCTTTTTTGCGTTTAATAAATTACCAGTGTATTCGTTTGGTAAAGTGTTATCGATGTTTGTGTTTTATATTTTTTAATAAATTCATTATATATTTTATAAAAATACAAAAATCTATACAATATTAACATTTTTTTGATTAGTTTGTGTAGTAATGTCTATGTATATGTTCTCCCCGTCCATCGGACGGGTCTAACATCTAGTACAATATATGTTCAAGTTTTATCGCTGAAACATTTATCCTAATATTGAGTCATACATGTACCAGAACTACCAAATCGAAATTCTCTCACAAGAGAATATGAAAATGCACACATAACTAAATTGAAGTTGGTAATTGACTTTCACAAATTCTAGGTTGCAAGTTAATGATAAACATACAAATGACAATCTTTTAGCACATCATTTAATTTGTTTGAAGAAACTCCTGATTTCCAAATTTGAAACACATGAACTTAGTTATGTCAAATGTCTAAATTTATAATAATCAGTAAACTTCTAGTTTAACTTGTTGGTACGAGAAGTGAACTTCTGGTTCCTTAGAAAACTTCCGGTTTACTATAAAACCCAACGATAGTTATACATGTATATTTTTTAACACAAAATAATACGAAAATTAATACAATTTTTCTTCTGGAAACTTTATTCTTATTGTACAAGTATATGGTAACAATTTTCTGAAATTCGAAAATCTTTTCTCGAATCCTTTTGACATCGGTGCAAAATCATTTTGTCATTTTATTTAATCTTGCAGAGCTAAATTCACAAATTCTCTTATTGAGACAATAAAGAACTAATTATTCAACCATGTCAAAACAACCCTTCTTCATAAGAGCATTTTCTCTAATGGTTTTATCTACTCTGTAGTAGTGTGGTTTTATTCAGTTATTATTGCCATTATACTAAAGATTATTGCTCTGCCAGAGTATGCATATAATGTTAGAGATTTTCGGTAACTGATGCTCTACGGGAAATATATCCAACTTTATGGTGGAATTCAATTACATATGCTCTTCAATTATAGAGTATTTAATTCATTACCAAATAATGTTTTTCAGGAGTTTTTCTCCAATTTTGTGGAGAAGTTCATATACATGCTCTACAAGAGCATTTAATTAATTTCAAATTCATAAAATCACAAGAAATATTAAAGTATCTAATAAAATATATAATAAAGAAATTACTCGAATTAAAATATAAAACAAAAATACACTTGGATGTTTTCGTGATAAACTAAAGTAACTATTATCACCTTCAGGGTGGTTGTAAGCAACATCCATAATAATATCATTAATATCATAATGAACATCATCTTTCTCATTCTTGATAGAGAGTAGCAATATGGTCTTAGTATGGATTAGGCAAGATTTTAATGATCTTTTATCTTTTTATTCTTTTCATCTTTCCAAATTCAGGTGGATTATTTTATTTTCATTAAAATTTCGTACTTCTGGCGATTAGAAATATTTTTTGGTATCATTAGCAATTCTCAATTATATTTGGGATTTCAATTTGTCCAACATTAAATTTCATGATAATCGCATTTACTTCAAGAAATGCAATCGTCCAACTTAAACGAGTATCATATTATTTGCAACAAAACTCAATAGTTTGTTTAATGCTAATAAGAATTATATAGCTACTTCAGGAGCAACTTTCTTATAGTGTTCTTGTTTATAATCTTCAAATTTATGTGAAAAATATTATTTTTATACGTGACTACCATATTATAGTAGATTCATTATCACAATTTGACTCGTAAAACAACGTAGTTATCCACTTGTTCCAGAAAGTGAAAATTCTTGTTTTAGGAAGTAAAAATTCTCAAAATCAAGAGTATTGTGATTTCTTTAAATAAGACGATAACCGTGTATTTAATGAAAATTTAATAAACTACTACTGCAAGAGCAATTTCTTGTTACACTTGCATATTTAAGTTCTTTCACTAATTAAAAGGCATCAATCATTAGCCTTTTTGTCATATCGATATAACTTTTATATCTTCTATCTTTGTTCATATGTGCCACTTTAAGTGGTCAATTTATACGACTATGATATTTTAATAAATTCGAATCCACTTGTTTCAGGAAGTGAAGAAAATCCCTTTGAATATTTTCATGAAATTGTTACTAATAGAGCAAATTCAATATATGAGAAATTTATAATAGAAAAGGCTACTATAGGAGTATTTGGCTGTATACAACATTTACAAAACAAGAAAAACTTACCGCACTCCCTGATCTACAGGTCAAAATCAACCGCACTCCCAGATCTATAGATTAAAATCTTCTCAGTTGGATAGAGAGTTGTACTGATACCGTGTAATAAAAATAAAAACATAAGACTTTGGAAAATAACAAGTGGGGAGAGAACAAAGACAGAGATAGAGAAAGAATAGATCCGTATATTATTCTGTGGAGAATGATCTCCTTTTATAACATCAAACAATGATAAAATCTAGTTAACTAAATATTATCTCTAAAAAGTTAATTCCTTATATAAATTTTATAAATTGTGGACATCCACATTAAAAATTTATAACAGTTTTTTTTTTATTTTTTATATCCAGTGTACAATACAATTTTTTCCAATCATGTTTAGTTGTTTACCATGAGAATGTCATTTCGCAGATACTAAATTGTTGATTACATTTACATTTGTATATTTGCGCGGTTCGGACACATTTGTGAGTCCAATGAGATTTTAACGAACATCTAGACAGAATGATAAACAAAAGAAAAAAGAGGAAGATAAAAAATGACGGTATATTCTGTTGAAGCCCAAATTAAATGATTAATTCTTCCTAAATCTAGGTAATAACTAGGATCGTTGTTATCATAGCTAACAAAAGAAGAAGGAAAAAAAAAAAAAAGAAAAAAAAAAGCAGCATTATTCGGGAGCAGCGGCGACCAGGAGGTTTCCTGACATCTACAATAACTGTTTTTATTCTTCTAAATTTATACTAATTTGAATCAATCAAAGTCTGGTCTTGTCATCCCATATGGCGCCCCCCTAATTCGATACTTTAAAAGTGTACCAAATCAACTGGATGTTTGTCTTTTAACTTGGTTAGTCCACATGAAGAACTTGGTTAATCACACTTAGATATTTATTTTCTTGTGGAAAAGGATATTTCAATTATAAATTATTATATTATTTACCTCAATTAGATGAGTTTATCATTACACATCATAACAATATCGTTCATCTTGAACCATTCATGAATGTGATGTATCGAAGAATGATGTATCATAATCGCCTACTTTCATAAATTTGCTCGTGTCCAATACGTATATTATTTTGCGAGGATATTTAGACTTATTACCCCTTATTACTTAGCTATTTTAACCATTGTACTATTATTTTCACTAATTCTCGTGCAGAAAAAGAATATTCCAAATATTTTTTGTTACACCAAATTCCTTTACACTGTGCTATCAATCTAAATTTTATACATACAAATAAAAACGAATCTCTAATGTAAAGACTAGTTCTTCAGTTTATTTGCAAATTAATAATGCATCAATGTGCGACTACGAGTGAATGAGACATGAATAAAGTACATTCCTAAACAAATTAGCGGCCAAATGCCCAACCCTCCAACTCAGCTCTACATCAGAGCCAACCTAGTCTATACAAAAATCATGTTACATCAAGTTGTTCCGGGGGACAAAATAATGCTGCCCAAACTTCCACTTTTTTGTCATCTGCCACATGATTCATCTTCTTCAGGCCATGGATGTGTTTAATTCACACATATTTAGCCAAACTGCGTCAACCTTTGCCATATACATTTAGCTAATCGTAAATATATACAATCTAACACAAGACTTTCATAGCGATTAATCTGTGACATTAATGTTGTACCTATATATATATTTTATAAGTGATGTAACAATATCGAGATGATCTTATTGGGAGACTCAGATTTTATTTATTTACTATAACATAAGTCCATAGGATAAGATGGCACGATGTAGAATTGTAGATTAGACAAAATTGGTAGTGACACGAAAATTCGAGAAATTTGATCCCCCAATCATGCTCCAACATTTTTTTTTTTTGTATCTATGTCTCTTCGTCCTAGGAATATTATAACGTGCTTGGAAGCTTATATAAGTGGAACAATTGGACCTCTGTCTTTCACACTCATTGGTCAATCATAATTCATTTTTTTTTGTAAAATTTAATCATTTCAGAGAAAAGAGAGAGAAAAATGGGCAGTGTGGAAAATCAGAAGCCAGTGATTGTCATGTTAATGCTGCAGTTTCTGTATTCAGCAGTCACTCTGTTCACCAGAGCCACTTTCGTACATGGGATGAGTCCTCGAGTTTTTGTGGTGTATCGACAAGGATTGGCCTTCTTGCTTATTGCTCCTATAGCATTTTTAAGGTAAATCACTGTCTAATCAAACTTTTCTTTCATCCCAAAATGTCAAACATAAAGAATAAATAAATACATAAATTATGTGTGCTAAATTTTTCCTTCATAATTAATGGCAATGCAGGAAAGGCACAAGTGGATGTTCTTTGGGGTTGAAGAACTTCGGTTTGATATTTTTGATCTCTTTAATTGGGTAAGTTCCTCCTCCTATTATTTTTTCTGTCCGGAAAAAAAATCCACTTCATGAAACTGTATTTAATTCAATAAAGGTGACTAATTTTTTTATTTTTTTTTTGGAATAGGAGGATGTCCACAAACTAATCTCATCTTCCCTTTTCCTATGTGAAATTGATATCATTTTCAAGTGTTAATAAAGTTGTCTTCTTTTTTTCAGAATAACAATCAACCAGAACATCTACTTTGAGGGTCTATACTTGTCCTCATCTTCCATAGCTAGTGCAATGGGGAATATCCTTCCTGCAATCACTTTCCTAATGGCCTACAGTTTAGGGTAAAGTATACGATTTTCGAAAAAAATTGATATCTTTTCAACAAACAAAATAATCATTTTGGGAACAGATGATAAATAAAATATGTAACTACACAGGTTAGAGAGAGTAAACTTCAAAAGCGTTAGAAGTATTGCGAAAATATTCGGAACAATCGTATGTGTAACGGGAGCCATAAGCATGGTGTTGCTGAAAGGGCCGAAGCTACTAAACATGGAATTCAATCCAAGGCACATGTTGTTCAGCAAGGGAGGTGAGACTTGGTTGCTTGGTTGTTTCCTCATCTTCACCAGCAATTTTTGCTGGTCACTTTGGCTGATTTTACAGGTACAAATCAGTAGTTAACTTTAACATTTTAATCAAACCAAAAAAAAAATAAAAATGAGTCGGTACATAGTGTTATTGGTAATCGGGTCAAAAGTCCAATAAAGATCGAATTTCGAGTTGCTAATCCTAGTGTCACTTTGATTCGTATAATAGTACGAGTTTAATTTTTTTTTTGAACAAAAAAATTAAGATGAGAGACATAATTGAGCTGGAGCACTTGTCCCAAGTGACTATTTGGGTGATTCGTCTTTAACTTTTACTTAGAACAAGACGTTATGTATTTGAGTCATACTTGTATCGGATTAATTTAACTCCGACATGTGTTACTAACATACATTAACTTTAATAATAAAATATGATCAACCCTGTGACAAAATGTTGGTGCAATTTGCTATATTAACAGGTTCCGGTGTCCAAGAGCTACCCAGATCATATATGTTTGACAGCTTGGATGTGCTTGTTTGGGTCAATGCAATCTGGAGTTGTGTCTTTCTTCTTAGAGAAAGATTTAGACGCTTGGAAGATTAACTCTCCTCTTCAACTTGGTTGTCTACTCTTCACTGTACGTACTACTAATCTTTTGTTTCTGTTCCGTCAAACACACACTCACGCAGTGAGCATGCAGCTAATTGGACACAACTTGTAGTGTTTAATTGTTCTTGATCACGCTTTTTTAGTTAGATTAAGTTTGTTAATATATGATTACCACTTGTGACGAAAAATGAAAAAAAAAAAATAAAAAAATCAGCTAGCTAGCTATTAAGGAACAGAAAGAAATGGAATTTATCATTTGCCATATATAAATATAGGCTGCAGCGGGAGCAACTTCATTCTTTGCTCAAGCATGGTGCATTGAAAGACGAGGTCCACTCTTCTCTGCCATGTTCAACCCACTCAACACTGTCATTGTCACCTTCTTAGCCACCACCTTTGTTCACGAAGAGATGTACTTGGGCAGGTAATTTTTTTTTAATTTTAATATGCCATGCTGAAATTAATTAAAATTGATAACTTATGATAAGAGTAACGTAACGTTAGTCACTATGAGAAGTCGTGAATTTTGTCACCCTTTCATCCAGAAATTCTGATTGGATGTTTCATCCTCAGCTTGATAGGTGCAATAGCTGTAATATTTGGACTCTATGTTGTCCTTTGGGGAAAAGCTCAAGATCAAGTCGAGATTGACGCAGAGAAGAAGCCGGAGGAGGCCAAAAAATGCAATTCGGCCAGCTGCATCGACGAATCCGTGGAGAAAACAAGCTACGCGATCGATTTGGAGGAGCCCCTCTTGTCCAACAAAGAGTAGCACAAGATATTAGAGGTTACTGGAAGTCAACATTTTGAGTTTCCTTAGGATTGAAAGAGATATAGGGAGAGAAGCATATTACACTTGTGATCCATTAGGTTGGGTTTACGACACTTTTGATCCTTCGGAGTTTTTGGAGTAGCACTTTTTGTACCGTATGTTTACATCACACTCTCTGGTCCATTAATTATGTTGGAATAATCATTTTAGTCCCTCGTGTTTACACTTATGAAGCTTTTGGTCATTTTTATGACCAATTTTTCGTCAAGTAAACTATTGTTCACGACACAAGTCAAAGCTCATTTTAGATCTCTACCTTTTGTCAGTAAATTGCAAATTGTGCAAATGATTACTGCGAAATTGTCATATTGGTACGATCAAAAGAGCTTCATTTTCTCACACTTATCCTCTTCTGATTAAAACTATACAGTGGTCTTCTTTATTTTTGGGATTGAAATAATACAAACCTCATCATAATCCACATATTCAGATTGTGGGTATTACTATGTGTCATGAGAAGCCCAAAATGGAAGGAGTCATGTCATATGAGTACACGCAATCTATAGCACGATAGTTGGAAGATGTCTTTAAGTTGTAATCTAATCAGACGACGAGATCACAACAAATGAGATAATGATGATGGACTAAGCACATTTTAAGGTCCGAAGAAACGTGTTGCCTTAGGTGAAAACAGACAAAAAGACATCTAAACTTGTCAACTGAGAAATTACTCAGCCACCAAACAAAAGCCATTCAAAGGTGTCATCATTGGTGGGTAGAGAAGTGAAAGACCATCAAATAATATGCTATCTTGCTTGCCCCCGACTACCAGAAAACCGCACAATTGTATGCAACAAATGCAAAGTAAGGGAAAGAAGAGAATTCAATTTAAAACGCGGAATTCAGAATTATTGGAAAGTCAGTAATGTTCAACCATGTTTGTGACTTGCTTCATACACCTAAATCACAGAGGATTCCCATTGTGGGAAAATCATAGAGTTTTAATTGGATTCAGAATATCACCAATTGCCAAAAGCAAGAAGTCTTATGATATGTGAGAATCCAGGAGCACAAAAACAAGTTCACAAGTACAAAGGCTGAAAATGTGGACATCAATCAAGAAGATGATACCCAGAACTCAACAAGCTGCACAAAACTTGAATTAAACAGAACAGTGTCATAGCAAGATCTAAGAACTACTACAGTGGGAGATCCCTGATCCTGCGATATCAAGAAAGATTCATAATACTATACATGAATAAGAAAGATGGGAATTAAGTCCAATATACCAGCTAGCAGAAGCGCTCAATATCCTAAGCATACTACAGAATGCAACATCTACTTAAGAATCATCAACCACACCACAGCTCAGGGGTAGCGGTGCTTCCATGCATTAGACTCCCGGTTGTTTCTGAAAGCACAGCATCCTACAGAGTATATGATGACAAGGATGACCCAAACAACCACAATCAGAACAGCCATTCTCTTCCAAAGACTCTTGATATTATCCAGGAAACCAGCTTTGCATGATTGGCAGCTGTAACACAACCGAGCAGGGTCATTGTTCCATGCTTTGCAATCTGGATTGTCCGATGGAGGAGCTGTTCCAGCGGTCCAGTTTCCATTGGCATAGGTGAAGCCACAATCAATGGATGGCTTACAGCATCCAGACTGCAAAATTAATGACAACGATTTAGAAACATTATTTATTTGAGTAAGATAAAGGTTGAATGATACCATAAAGGAGTCGAGAAACGCAGGTTGTATATCTAAGATGCATGCAAAATAACCAAAAGAATTGCAAACAACTACACAAAAAAGAGATGTTTTATTAGAATAACAAAACAACGAAATTGCTTAGAGCAAGGCACTCTTAAGCATCCCAGATTTCAGACAAACCAGATATATGCAGCCAACAAAAGTTGCAGACAATGCTTCACACCAAGCAAATTTTACATCTCGGCCAGTCAACAAAGATTCAAGGTAACTACTTATCCCTCCAAAAAATCAATAACCACCTTAAAAATGGCGTAGAACAAGACAATGATCCAAGACACTACGGAACCATCAATGTTCATATTCAGAAATTCAATACAAGAAAGACTTCATCAAAAAAGAATACAGACTGCAATCTTTTAGGACTGCTAAAGAAATAGCAGAGCATCAAATTACTTAATATCTCAAGAAAAAGATTCAGCATCAAATTACCATCTGGAAATAAAAAGCAGAGCATACTTTTGGAAAAAGAGGATAAGTTTTAAGCAAGAAGCCATCATCTACTATTCTGAAACCCGACAGGCAGGGAAAAGGAATGTAACTCTGGAACTTTGTGGCAAAAAGAAAAGATGTGTGTAAAGTATATCTAGACAATTTCCTTCTCAGAAAAACTGGATTTCAATTCTCTGAACTTCATCAATGACTGGATAAAACTTTCAAATGGGATCCATAAAAAAGTAAATCAAAGTAAAAAAGGGGAAAAAAGACCCATCTGATGGAAGTTCAAAGAAACGCTAATACCATAAATTCCACAGTACAGGACCACCAGATTACCAAAGGGAAGACTTCCCAATAGTCAAAAAAGGTTTATCCAGATCTAAAAAGGTACCTTATCCCATCACCAAAAATCAGCAATTTAAACCTAATAAAAACATAACTTCATGCAGAATAAGCATATGAATCAACAAACATAACAAATTCGCAGGAGATATACCTCAAGAGAAGAAAGTTTCCTCCGATCGAAAGCCTGTTCATCAGCAGATTTGTCTTCAAGGAGATGCTGGCAGATTTTAGAGTCCTGAAGACAGCTCCGAATCTTGGCCCAGTTCTTGTTATCATTGACCCTTTTCTGCAACCAATTGGAATAATCCCCAAGCCTATACTCCTTGTAACCCTTCCCAGAAAGCGCCTCACCAGCACCTTTGTTAGTGACAACGAACCCGAAGATCGCAAAGCAGAACAAGAGGATAATCAAGAGGAACATGACCACAAGGTATAACCAGAGAAGCCATGAAACCCCACAACAAGCACCAATAACTCCGGCCACGGAAACCAGCAACAAGAACACCCCAACTGCTATGGTGGCCTTCTGGAAGAAACTTTCGCATTCAGTGCTTCCGTGCTTGGAGAGCCAAATCCCTCCACCCAGAATCACAACCGACAGAATCAAGCTGAACACGTTCAGTATCCCAATCAAACTGTTACTGCACTTCACCATTGTTCAAGACTAAAAGCCTCTCCTGAACAATTTTTTGATCTGGGTTCTTCAAAAATTAAACTGAATTTTTCGTCAAGAAACTTTAGAAACTACTAAACGGTTTTCTTAATGGAGATCGGTTTCAGATTTTTCAAGAATAGATGATTGGGTGAGGGATTAAGTAACGGGCAGAGAAGGTGGCAAGTGTGTGACTGCGTGTGGGCCCCGGGGGGGGAGTTGGAGGTAGAGGGGAATTTGTATTGAAAATTATCAACATGGAGGGACAATTATTAAATTCGGAGAGATGGCATTGACTCGAGTATTAGTATTATTCAGAAGGTTCATGGAAAGTGAAGACAACGCGCTTGACGTCCACGTGTGTAACACCGTTTCCGCCGGTTATGAGATAATATCGCACGCGCTAGTTGTTGAACAGTCGGACGTAGACTCTCTATAAGACACGGTAATAATATCTGCATTTTTACCTGGTGGAAATTGAAGGAAAGGTTAAATTTGATGACACGGGCTTGGTTTCTTCTCTTCAAATGAATCATTATATCTTGGAAGATACAAAAAGAATGGAAATGGACATTATGATGATGATGATGCTGAACAGATGAAAGGATGATATAGAAAGAGAAAGAGCCAAATTTTTTTTATAAATTTTGACTTCTTGACCAAAATTGTCAGGTATTATCAATTTTTAACTATGACTGTTTTATCTTTTCTCTTCTACAGAGAGGATATTAAAAAAAAAAAAGTAAAGATAACAAGGTAAATTTTAATAAAAATTAACATATGAAAATGGTGATTGTTTTCTCCTTAGAAGTTCGCGAGGCTCTGTTTGTTTGATTTTTTTATGGTTTTTAAAGTTTATTTTAATTAATAATTGTCCCATTCCAGTATATTTTTTTACATTTCCAACATATTTTTTTTACATTTTCAATACCAAAAACACCTAAAAATACATACTAAAAGATGAAACAAACATACCCTCAGATACCAACCAAACCAGTATATGGTTTTCGTATAAATACATCGTTGAGAACAAAAAACTATTTGCTGGAGAAAATATTAACGTCCAACTCTATCAAATCGAATCGTAAACAGCCCTCCTTAGACAATACTCCTTCCGTTCTAAAATAAATGTCGTTTTAATAAAAAAATCTCAAAATAAGTGTCGTTCTCATATTTCAATACACATAATTGCCCTCAAAAGAATTAATACTATTGGTGAATAATTTTTTAATGGGGTTAGTTGAAGATATTCAAGTAATTTTAGTATCTTATTTAAGAGTTTCTAAAATTATGTGCAAAGTGAAGGATGACTCTTATTTTGCAATGGAGGGAGTATTAAATTCTGTAATTTAGTCATGAATATGAAAGGGAAGAATGAAAATTCTATAGTTTAGCAGCAAGTGGTATTAACAAACGCCTAGGTTAAAAAAGATTCATTATCACAATTCAGAAATAGTACTATATATTCTATACAAAATGTAGGGCCACCTGAGAACCGCTGAATTCATTAAAAAAAAAGAATTAACCAAAAAAAAATCTCAAAATTTTGAGAACGAATTCAAAAGGGGATAAAGATATGAATTGTACAAAGGGTAGTCAATTCAATCACAAAAAAGGTTCGTGCTATATTAATGCCTTGTTGCATTGAAGGAGAAAAGTCATGTGAGAAAATACAAAGATCGAAAGCGAAAAGCATTTTATTTAACATCGAAAACACACTGAGAAAAATCAGCAACAAAGCAACCATGCTGGGTCTAAATCCAATCCAAATAGAATAAAGACACAAATCACAAAATAGCAGGTCCTTCTGCAGCCATAAGATCAAATTCAATCCCCCTAATGTTGTTCAGATTAAAGAGGTCCTGGGAAATTGCCATTCTCCCTCTGCTCGTTCCATCTGTCAACCTATGAAATCGAACAGAAATTAGAAAAATCCCATTTCAGCGGGAATAGTGATGCATGCAAAATATCTAAGTCAGATGTCACCATATGCACGAACAGAAAGCACCAAACTAATGAAAGATATTTTAATAATGGACACTACAGTAGAGACGGGGAACTTCCAACGCACGCGAAGCAATTTTGACCGCCAACAGCAGGCGACTAAATAGATCTCCACATGCTAATAATGGGATACAAATGTAGGTGTTGAAGACAATTCGAAGTTGTGAGGTGAGGTTATGCGGAGCTTCATTACAATCAATTGGCAGAAAAGAGGTCCAGTATTGTCTGACCTAATTTTACCACCATGATTTTAGAAAGATGCTTGTTGCTCAACTTAAAGGAGAAGCACTAGAGTACTAGACTACTAGTCATAACATCCTTCTTGCACAAACATGAAAATAGTGTAGCAGGTTCATTAGGTGCACCAATTGAACCAAACTAGACTCAAATCTTATCATGGAAAATTGCATGATAGTATACAGTGAACTAGATAGTCAGCTTTTAAGAAATTAGGAAATATTAAAAGCGTAAACACTTACCCATTCACCCGGGCAAAGTGACCTATAATATTTGGCGAATTTCTCACATTCACCAGAATCATCACCCTTGGCAGCCAAGCACCTGAGTATACAGGATCCAATAGATCCACATAAACAGTCAAAAGACAAGTTTGATATAGTACAATGGCAAAAAATCGTAATTGACAGCTGAGCCTTTAAAAGCTAAAGATTCATCCTAAGGTAATAGTTACATCATTGCAATAGACAAAACAGTTCACAGGTTTGAAAGACAGCCAGAAGACTGTTAAACTCACATGTGCTTATAGAAAATGCAACAAAACTAAATTTTACATTTACTCAGCAAAAATGCATATTTTCGGTAAACTATATTTAATAAAATCATATACAGGTTTCCAGTCCAGGTAACAAAATTAAGACCAGTAGGCACAAGAGATGCCCACCAGAAGTGGAATTACCACTAGGAATTAAAATTAGTTTCTGTCAATTGCAACGTGTGATATTCCTACAACTATCATCAGAAGTATAAGTATCAAGATATCTGCAATATCAGTAACCTAATAAATTCAGAAGTGAATGGCATTTGATTTATCATTTTGCAATCTGCTTTATATGTTCTAAATGCACCTTTCTACATTTTCAACACGACTTTATACATTTCAAGAGTGAAGCCAAAAGCAAATAAAACAAACTAATCGTCCATAGAAACCCATACTACATTTAAATATACTAACTTCTAAATTCACAAGGTCATGAAAGTAACATAAATGATTTTACAATACAGAATATAGTTAGATACAAGCGGGACTGGCAGAGATGCCCATTGGCTATAAATGTTATCCAACTACCTGTGGAACTCAATGTAGCGTGTGAAGCAGTGTCTGGTTTGATTGGTTGTTGGGAAACGAAAATCAGCTGGTGCAGTCTTCAGTTCAATCTGAAGCAAGATTAAACATAACATCAAAATCGAGATCTAGATGCTTTTTCCAAAAAAGATGCCAAGTAAAGGATTTCTCCCTAAATTTTATCCTCTTGCAAGTTTTAACTTGATGTATATAAACACAAAGTTTTAGGTTTTAAACTCTTTTTAGAACAGATGTCCGCATAAATATAGCAAATAGTCTTATAACCATAATAAATTCTAGGCACATATCCAATTCAAATTCAAATACCACTCCACTAAGGCAATTGCTTCTCATAGGAATTCTCTCCCAAGACCTATAAAACTGTCCAAATATTCAAAAGATAAAATAATCTTCCCAGCTAAAATAGATGGCCAACAAAGAGTGCAGTGTCTGCTTTTCCAACCATAAACTTCACAGGCTCACCAAACGCCCAACAGATGTTTATTTGAACAAAATGAATGCAGCGAAGTTGTCATCCATAAAATGCACTGATTAGTTATAAATTATAATAACCACAATTTGTATGCTACACAATAGTAAGCCAAATTCACAATCCTGAAACCTGTTTTGAGAGATCAAAGCAAGCTAGATAGAGAAAAAGAGTCGTGTGCACTATAAAATCACAGAACAGATTGCACACACTATCTTCTGAGGAAAGGGCATCCCAATACATGCTTTTGAGACAGAATCATTAGAAAAAGAAAAGGGCTCCCATTAGGAACAAGACATGCCCAGAGGATGAAAAGAGAGTGTCTTAACAGGGAGAGAGATACAGGATGAAAAGAGTGTGTCTTAACAGAGGTCCGGTTTAGGACGAACCACCAATAAATGGGGTGATATCCTTGCAGCGCATAGTTTGTTTCAAGGCTTCAGGTCACAAAGATAAGTGATAAACTAACGATATGACTAGAAAATGAGGTTCGTTACAATGTGGTTAGCTATCTTCTCTGAATGGGTTGCTACAGAAGAAATCTATACCAGCTATTCTAATGTCGCTTGCTCGAAAAAAACAGGGGCTTTTTTAAATATAGTAGTCCCCATTTAACACCTTCCCTGAAATTTCAGCACCTGATTTTGACTAGGAAAAAAAATCACCAATACCTAGTGCCCAATCCAAAACTGCATTCCAACAGCCTAATTACCCTTTAAATCAACAAAGAAAAACCAAACCTCAGAGTTTACCCTCAAAAAATATATCTATACATCTCAAAAACAAATCCGTAATAACTCAAATCTCTGACTTCTATCCACTTCATTACAGTTCAAGATAGTCGCTGTTACGAACTCAGAACAAACCGATTTGAAAATCTCACAAAAACAAGGTAAATTCTGTGGTTTCTCGTAATCTAATCAACAATTGAAATAAACATTTCGAAGCTCGGAAAAAAAAAAAACAAAACAAAACAAAAAAGGAAAAAGAAAAAAACAATTTCTTCGACAAAAGAAAACCCATATACATACGATTCCCATCAACATATACATTATCAATACAAAAATTAATATATAGAGCAGATCATAGTACGTTATTACATAAAATCTACCAGCAATTGACTAAGAGGAAAATGAAAAAAGGGTACAAATGATGGATTCATAGAGGGGGGAAAAGGGCAGACACAAAAACGATTATCCAAAATAGAATTTAAAAGGGCACATGCTTTTAGATTCTGACCTCGGCCATTGATGAGATTCGATTCAAACAAAGCACAAAATGGTGGAATAGAAGAGGAGAGAGCTTCGAATCGGCAGACGCTTTCCCAGAAAATTAGTGTGTGCATTAGTTTTGATTAAGGTTTATTTGACTGGACTAATCTCAGTTGACATTTGACACAGCCCCTTAAGGTTCTTCAATTCCCACTTTTGAGGCCACAATTTGTATTTATTACAGATTTGGTCCCAAGTCAATGATAATAAATAGTGCGGTTGTATTGTTCGAAAGCGGACGAAGCTTAGGAAATTGAAGGAGTCTCGCGATTAAATGAAGGTGAATTAATCCTTAGAGCTTATAGTTTTATGGGATAATTTTCCTACAGTTTAGATCGTTGTACACTTTAAACTATTTTAATTTGATAAACCGATTATTTTTCTAAGACGGAGAAAATATACCATTACTTACCTATCTTTTTAAATCTTGTATGCATTTAGCTAATATAAATCAAATGAAAATGTCATGATCATCCACATTAACTTAATACCATAATCGATACTTTAATCTTTACTCTCTTTAATGTGTCAAAAATTACATCATTGATGCACAGACTGATTAATCGCTAACAGGCTTGTACATTCCTTTGTGTTTGTTTAAAACTATTTTAAAGGTGATCAAGAGAAACTTGGATGATTAAAGTAAACGCGACCACTTTTCGAAAAGTGTATATGATTATTGACAATTAAGGAAAAAAATTATGGCATACATTACTTCCGTTATAACCATCAATATATCCCGTGCCGTAATTTCCTTTAGTTTTTAAATGGCATATGATAATTTGCTATGTTAAGTTTTTTTTTTCTTTCTTTATTTCTTCACATACTTTTTTAAACCCAACAATCGGGCCATAGAGCACTCTTGAACAGAAAAGGGATAAAAAAATATTTCGGAAAGAAGAAGAAGAAGAAGAAGAAGAAGAAGAAGAAGAAGAAGAAAGCTTTCTCTTATAAATTTGTAGATAGATTGCAATTTTCTTTGTTCTTGTAAAGTAGTAGTACTTAAAATCAGTTGAATATAAGAAAAATTGAGAACTTAAAAGTTGTATTTTCATAAGCTCACCAGATGAAGTACAAGAGTCTGGAGCTATAAAAGATGCAAAGAGGAAATTACAAGTATTTGTCAATCACTTGGAGGTCGATCCTTCTTTTGATCATCAACAAGGTATGCGTTCTTCATTATATGGACTCTACACTGATCTTATATAATATTATGTGCGTTCCAAAATAATTATCTTGTTTACTATCTTTTAAGATTTTATATACTGTATATGTCCAAAATAATATTTTAATATAACAAATATGACAATGATCATTTTGGGACAAAAAAGAGGATAATTCACTCCTTAAGTGTAACTAATTGTAGGATTGGCCATTTAATGGTTAGTCACAGTAGAAATAAAAGCACAAATTGTTTTCGTTAATATTGATGCATGCTATCTTTGGCATCAATTTTTTGACAGTTTTTTGAGAGAATTTGTCATGGAGAAGTGTATCCCAACCGCATTAGATGTAATAGAAACAATATGGACTTACAGTGTCTCAGAATTTGAAACCGAAGAGGCTGTTGTTAGTTGTGAGAAGTATGTATAAATGTGGAGATATCTTGGACAAAAAAGGCGTACAATGAAGGACACTATACAAGCATTTTACGGAAATTCAGTGTTGTTAGCTCACATTTAAGGAGGCTGATGAAGATGTGTGCCCAAAAAAAAAAAAAAAAGGGGAAAAAAAAACCCAAAAAAGCACACCAAAACTACTCTTGTTTCCTTGTACAATCAAGGTTGGTGATGAAATAGATGAATACAATGCTTGTAGAAGAATGTTAACCTAAAAAAAAAGGTTTAGACGCAAAATCTAACACTACAAAAGATTTATTTTTGCTATATATGTTCGTCTCCTCATTCAGTCCTGGCCATCAAACTACGAGCTTTTAGGTACAAACTAGCACTGCAAATTCAGCGCATGGAGATGGAGTCGCTAACTTTCAAGTTCACCAAAAATCTTCTCCATTAAGTAGAATATAAGTCTAATCATTATTATGGCACAAACAATTATAAGCTTTCTAGCATTGTTCTTAGTCCAATTATAATTCCTGTTCTAATATTGGATATTGCACTGCAAAACCTAAACACTGATTCAGCATATTACAAAAGTTTCTACCAAAACTGAAAGCTTTGCACTAACTTCTATGTTGTCGATCAAATGAATTACTCAAAAACATGCATTCATGAATATAGATCCATCACAAGTAACAAGAGAAAGGATCAAGAAAATAGCATAACATATTTATCAAAAAAAGAAAAAAAAATGATGATTTTCGCTCTGAAAGCAATAGTTCTAATCACAATATGCAAATTCAGAATGTTAAGGTGACGTTATCCATAGGTTCGACAGGTGCACACACGATGTCACAAAGGGGTCCTAGCTTCATCCATGACTCGTCCGGAGTAATTCACATAAGTTTTTGATGATTTGCTAGAAAGCAGGATGTAGCCTGTTTTGTCAGTATTGCAGCAAATTCTTGTTCTATGGGCAAACCTTGTAATTTAAAAACCAAAGAGAATGGAAAAAGTTCCAAACTTTAATTCTCATCTCAATCCTCAATGATCCAACCTCATTAAAATTGTATTTGATCAACCTAATCCTAATAGAAGTTCCTTTCTCTCAGGAGAGCTACCTGCCTCGTGTATAAATAAATAAATTGCATATTGCTGGAAAATCAATTGATTGTTTTCTATTGGGAAAAAACATTATAACAAAAAAAATCTTGCCCTCGCAGCAGCGGAACAAAGAAAATTTGTTTTACAATAACTACTGGTTCATAGAAAGCATCCCAATCCCAATTTTTCATGAACAACCCATTTTTTCGTGAGGAAAACACATGAATTATTCTCCGAACTATAAACCCTTCAAAAATTTAGACCCAAACGGATAACAAGAGTTTTTTTAATGACCATATAACCAAAACATAATTGCTTTCAAAAAAAAATAAAAAAAATCAAAACATAATTGCGCTGAAATATTTGTTGGGTTTGACTCAAGTGCATTGAGTGAAACTCCACTGATTGCTGAAAAAGCCTTGTTAATGTCTGGGCCTCTGGGCTGATGATCCTCATATTTGTTTTTGTCCCCCTCAAAATATATTAGTACGTCAAGGATAATTTTTGCATTTATTTGGTTGTTTTCTCCTTTGTTTTACGGTATTTATTAGGTTTTTATTCTCCATGTGTATCCAAAATACACATTGAATTCTAAATTTTGTATTGAAAAAAAAAATATAAATCTAAAAACTCAATGTGGAGTTTTTTGTTTGGACAGAGGTCGTATTATTTTGATTAATATACTATCCCAATACACTTTTTTTCACATTTTGATACTCTTTTGTATAATTTTTTTTTCCAAAAATAAAGGCACACTGAAATCTGATTCAAAAGAGTCCACCTTTTCACTCAGTTTATCAAAAAAAAAAAAAAAATTGATCCAAAAGATTTGTAAGAATTAATTAGTTGTCCTAATATTAATTTCTTGTGCTACCCCAACAATTTAATTCGCCTTTTCACTCATTTTATCAACATTGGAGGGGTAGACATTTACGGTAGTTAGGGAAGGTATATGTGGGGGTTGTGGGGGGAATGAAAGACTTCCATAAACCTCTAAAGTGTCTTATTCGTGAAAGTGTCAAACACACACTCCAAATTATACAACAAGTAACAAAATTTTGAACTTTACGATGATAACAATATATATATTCTTAAAATCTCATCCAACCCTTTCATTCTTATTATAAATTAAGGGAAGAATTTATATTCGAGCAAAACACACAATGTCGATCGAACTTAATACTTTGTAACAAACAATCATAATGGATTGTATTTAATACTTCTTCCGGTCCTTAATTTAAGACATTTTGTTTTGTCCTAGGTTTCACCTAATACACATTTTTAATTGATAAAAAAACTTTAAAAATATATTTTCATATTCTTTATGTTCTCTTTATTGTTATGAAATCTTTTTAAGGTTTTTTTGACAGTAAAAAATGCGTTTTAGGTGAAACTTAGGAAAAATTAAAATGCCTTATAATAAGGACCGAAGGGAGTATATAATTACATTGTCATTTACCACCACATTAAATATCTGGTTATTTCAAAATCAACATATTTATGAAACAAAAGGCACCTGCTTTCTTTCTTTTTTTTTGTCTCAAAATACTATTGGTTCATTTGCCAAACCAAATAAAAAAACAAAAAAATAGGATGAATCGACACTTGTATCGTAGATTAGGACAAGAGTTGGAACTTGGAACACTACAAAAAAAATTAAACAGAAGTGTGAACCCTAAAAATGGGATGGTAAAGACAACTTGCATGCACTTTGACTCCACCAAGCTTAGTGGAGTTGGATGCCTGTCAAACTAAGCAAAATCTCTTGCACGTCCAAGCCATAGCAGCCACAAGAATTGTTGCGAAAGTCAATTCCAAAATGACACATCAACCCAATGGTCAAAACATTTTATACCTTGGTTACAATGTCCAAATGACACGTTAAAAATGGCATTTTCACTAGTGCATCATTGTTAAGAAAGTTCCCTCAAAATGATAAAATCTCCACCCATTTTATTTCACACCAGGAGCTTAGATATTTGCACCTATAAATACCTCAGTCTCCATGCATGCATTAACTCCAACTTCAACTCGATCATCTTCATCGTATCTGTTGCATCTTATTAGCTTATTAACCTTGAAGCAGCATACTGAGCGTTTTTTAATTATCTTCGAGCACAAGCCCTAAATATCCAAAAAAAGAAATGGCAGCTATGAAGTCCCTTGCATTGGTAGGGTTTCTTCTTTGCTGTGTTGCACTTGTTTCTGAGTGCAGGGTGGCAAGGAAAGACTTGGGACTCGAGCTCGGCGGCAATGGCGGCGTCCAAGTCGGCCTTGGAGGAAGTGGTGGAGGAGGGGTTGGTTTGGGCATAGGCGGAGGTGGTGCCGGTGTTGGAGTTGGCGGAATAGGTGCTGGAGTAGGGGCCGGCTTGGGCGTTGGCGGAGGAGCCGGTGGTGGTGGTTCGGCTTCCGGGTCAGGTTCAGGTTCTGGTTCTGGTTCAGCTTCAAGCTCGGGTTCGAGATCAGGATCATACTCTGGTTCGGGGTCAGGGTCAGGATCAGGGTCTGCCGGGTCTAGTGCAGGATCAGAGGCTGGTTCATATGCGGGGTCTAGAGCTGGATCGGGATCCGGATCCGGAGCGTCCGAGTCAAGTGCAGGATCTGAAGCTGGTTCTTACGCAGGGTCTAGAGCCGGATCGGGTTCTGGTGGATCTAGTGCAGGATCTGAAGCTGGTTCTCATGCAGGCTCTAGAGCTGGATCGAGTTCGGGTTCTGGTGGATCTAGTGCCGGATCAAAAGCTGGTTCTTATGCTGGATCTAGGGCTAGCTCGGGATCAGGGTCTGGGAATTAATTCATACGATAATATATATGCCCTTTTGTATCTAAATAAATAAATAAATGGTTTGTGGCTTGTTTGCTTATTTTTGTGATATCATTTCTTTTTTTCTTTCGAGCCACCATATATATGTACTAGTACCTGTATTCTTCTTCATCGAGTATTAATAAATTTAATTAACCATATAAATTTAATTAATAAATAATTGACAAACCAAAAAAAATATAAATGATTACCTACCTCGGTGCTGATCTTAATTTTGTTTTGATTAATTATTCTCATACTTTTTGGGGGCAATCAATCTGGCTAATCAAACCAATAAGAAGATTCAAAAGATGATGATAGCTTCCCTACAAGTGCCATAGTTGATTTTGTCTCGTCACATAAATTGTGATAATAATACATGCACAATTTTTTTCTTTTTTATTTTTTAAAAAAAGTTAATGATACTGTTTGTTTTTTCGCAAAGAAAGAAAGAAAAAAAAGTGAACAAAGTTGAGTGCAATTAAGCAAGTCAAAATCTTGAAGGGAGAAACTTTTTAAGAGCAATCATTTAAGAGAAAATTCCGTACCTTAGACAAGAATATATAACAGTAAAACAAGTATAGATCTCACCCAATCAGTTTCAATTTTGATTAGTGTGCTGCCATAGTCAATTCCACAACAGTATTTTACCACATAATTAATAATGGATTCCTCAACTATATTATTGGGTGTCTTTGCTTATTAATTTACGAAAATATGCAAATATATTGTACACGTCAAACTCCCCAACAGAAACAATACATATATAAATACTCACTATGTCTCAAATTTATGTTCAGTTTGAATTTTCATTTTAAGTATAATTTATATTAAAAATTGAATCACAAACTGGACAAACAATACATATACGTACAATGATTTTAGTATAATTTATACTAAAAATTAAATCTCAAACTGGACAAACGGGAAGATAATTGGACCAAAAAGTTAAGTGATTTAACGGTGTTGATGATGGATTGCAAATAGACTTCACTCTATTTTACGTGGAGAAAATTTTGACTCTGATTAAAGGTTTGGCTTAGATCTTATGATTCATGAGTTGTCTTTCATTGAACGGGAAAGTGAAGTAGTTGGAGACTTGGAGTATCGACCATTTAAGCAAGTCGAGGTCAGCAGAATTTTGCAGAGGCCCCTTTCGTTTTTTCAACAATTAGTAGACATATCTAACTTTTGATTACACAAACTTCCTATAGACGCAGGAATTTTAATATTTTTTTCCGCTTGTACTTTTAAAAAATACATGTATATATGAAATTAAATAGTACTTTCTTCGTTCTAAAAAATTAATCCACATGATATTTTCTAAATTAAATTATTTGCAATTTTCAGTATGAACTATATATATATAAAACATAGGATTAATTATCTTTATAAATTTCATACTTACTCTGTAAAATTCCTGACTCAGTCCACGATTTTTAGAGGATTAATTAAGGGGCACTTTAAAGAGGGGGAAAAAGTATTTAAGTAGTAATGCATTTGGAAAAAAATAAATTAATCCAAATCCAGCACTACTTAAATAGTGTCTTGTATGAGTTCAAATAGTTCGTTGTTCATGTCTCTGGCCTTTAAAAAAAGAAAATAAATCCAAACAAATCAACTAATTATCAAAGCGTACTCTGTTGTTGACTCTTACCCAGCCACAAACCTTGCTACGTCAAAATGCTTAGTGCTATTTTACATTAGAAAGAAAAGAACAAGTTTCCAACTACGAGCTGAGGAAGGCCCAAGATGTATGGTTGGTATATTTCTAGAGAGTTCTTTTTTTTTTTCCTGATATATCAAAAGACAAAATAATAGGAAAAACTGTATAGATAATTATCATCACATTTTAATTAATTTTCAGCCTATAACTAAAAAATACGAGTAGGTGTACGCAAAAACTCCACTACTACACCTATAGTGGAATTGTGGGTCGTCGGCACCAATTGAAATGATAATACGAACATCTCACATGAGAGACTCTCTCCTCAGCTTTTTGCCTTCCATGCGTAAGCCTTACCACCACAAAACTTTTGGCTTCATTTTGGATTCTTGTTTCCTTTATACGCTATTATTCTCTAACTTTGGCACGTTTCTTACCAACTTTCTTAATTCTTCACCTATAAATACCCCTTTGTTTCTTCATTTTAGATCATCCCTTGATAAGAAGCTAGCTAGCCAAGAAAATCGAAGCATTTCTTTTAGCTGTTTCACAAACAAATTCAGTTTGTTTGGAGCTAGTTGTTAACCCTTTTTTTTGTTTTCAAACATGACTAGGTTGAAGGCATTGTCCATTCTTGTTGTTTTGCTTGTTTCTGCTTTTGCGACCGTGAGTGAGAGCCGGGTTGCGAGGAAGGACTTAGGGTTGGACTTGGGATTGGGAAATATAGTGGGAAGTATAACTGGATCAGGAGGTTTGGGTTTAGGGCTAGGCCTTGGTGTAGGAGTCGGGGGCGGTTCAGGTTCGGGTGCCGGAGCTGGAGCGGGTTCAGGCTCTGGCTCTGGCGGGTCTAGTTCTAGCTCGTCTAGTGCGAGTTCGAGTTCAAGTTCAAGTTCTTCTGGTGGCTCTGGCGGAGGAGCTGGTTCAGAAGCTGGCTCCTCCGCTGGTTCCTACGCGGGATCAAGGGCTGGTTCAGGCTCTGGAGGAGCTGGTTCAGAAGCTGGTTCCGAGGCTGGCTCCTCTGCTGGATCAAGAGCTGGTTCGGGATCGGGTGGCCGTGGAGGAGGTGGTTCTGGTGGCGGTTCTGGACACGGTGGCGGTTACGGGGAAGGTTCTGGCAATGGAGGTGGTTCTGGCCATGGTGAAGGGGGCGGATCTGGATCAGGATACGGTGAAGGACATGGAAAATGAATTGAAGTAATTCATGTCTTGGGAGATGGAAATAACTTTTATCTATACCCATTCATGCAAGACCTTTGAATAAGTGGAAAATTCTACGTCCTCTGGTGGTGTTGTTTGATTTTGTTTGTAGACTTCGTGTATGATCGTGTTTTAATTACTAGGTACTATGTGTCTGTGTTGTTTTTGTTGTTCAATGAAAGTGATCTTAATTTAAAAAGTTTTTTTTTATCGTATCCTAACTTCCATTTTCCTTAAACTTTCCTAAAGTTATTTAAGCGTACATATAACATACAGTTCAACCAAAAATGGTCTGGTTACTAATTAGGTCAAGAACAAAAACCAGTGAATATGTCATTTTCGATATTGTTCCTTGGATGATGATCCGTAGTACTATTACAGTGACATAGACCAAAATTATAATGTTTTGACCATAAGCAACTCAATTTAGAACGAATATGTCAATGATGATTACATAAGAAAATTGTCCGTTTGTATGAGATTTCTGATCGCGATCAATTATGTAATATGGTTATGACTTATGGTTAAGACGTCCATTGTTTTATATTATATCTTAGAGTCACCATATTTAACTGGGGCGTATATATATGATGTGATTGATACCCTTTTTTTAATGAGATTTAGCTGAATTTTCAATTTTTAGCCACTCGATATTGGACTCATGCATCATCCTACCTAAAAAAGGAGGGGGTGGGGACTCTAAAAAAATATAAGAAATTGGAGTACATACAAGAGAAATAAATTGGAGGGAGATGGAAAAGTATAAGACGTTGGAGGAAGATAGAAAAAGGCTAAATACGAAAAGAATATATATAGATATATAAAAAGAAATTAAAATACTCGTTAAGAGATTTTTATCCCACAAAAATGACCTACTCAGGTTGAATCAAATTAGTCGGAGTAATAAATTTGGACACCTGAATACCTGATATGTGAGTGTGAAAAAAAAAATTTATCTTTGTTTTGTTTTTCCTAAAGAAAGATAGGGAAAAGAGCTACAAATTGAAGGAGAGAATTGTAGCAGCTACTAAAAGCTGAAGGTTGTTTTCTTCAATGGATGAATTAAGCTCCATTACCCTTGAAATGTGGTAGTATAAGTGTTAGCCTCCTTTTTTTTAAAAAAAAAAAAAAAAATCTTTCTTACCTCGTTAATATCATACACATTTTTCTGTAATCCAACTGATCAAGTTTAAATAGAATAAACCTAAGTACTCACAATCACGTTAAAGAGCACATGCTCATTAAAGAACGCCCAAATATTGAATTCACTAAGTAATTAAAAAAAAAACATCAAGCTAAAGTTGTTGTTTCTATTTTGTACACCAGTTTAAGACTTTAACCACCACTTATTTATTAAACTGTTCAGTTTTCTCGTTACGAAACATGCTAAAATGACCCAAAAAAATAAAAATAAAAACCATGTAAAAAGTGTTATCAAACAAAAAACATGTTAGCTATCTTCTTATGGTTCTTATTGCGCGATGGCAGCTATATTCTGATGGTTGTTACGATGGCCTAAGTTTTAATGTGTATCGGTGTGAAATTAAACCGGTTGGCTTATCTCAGATGATATCCATTTCGCATTAAAATAATAAGTAAGAATCTTGTAAATTACGAGATTTTTATTATACAAACGTAGCTCTTATTAAGACGAATACGATCTTATCTCCATATGAATATATTTTACTGTGGAGAGTGGAGACTGTTTCTGGTTTAAACAATTATCTATCAACTTTTCCTCATTCCTATTCGTTCATGTGAAAATGATTTCCACTTCTTATGATTGCCATAAACCAAAAATGTCCCTAATTCAGAAAGTAAATCATGATCATGCGTGAATTTTCTACGAAGCTATTGCAACTCGTAAGCATAATTCCGTCATCATGCATCTTAAAATAGTAATAAAAATAATAATCTTTCCATTTTAAAATTATTGTCTAACTCAAGTTTTTAGTTTAGCTCAAATTATAATAGAAGTGATAATTTAAATTAGATAATCATTTTGTAATATAAGATTAATACTTGAACAAATTTTATATCTACTAGGATAACCATAGGCATTCTTACGTGTGATGAGGGTTTAAGGTTCATGCGGATTTGACCTTCGTGCGTTGCATAATTAATTAACCAACTAGGCTATTTGATTAGCTTAAGATGAGTCAGTGTTTCACAATTTGAGGTCCTAATTAGCAGAAATCTCAGCCACATTAATCCTAGTGTGACCATTTGTCGAATATATTTAGTTCTTTATAAATAATTAGCACCAACATTAGTCTTCTCCCCCTTTTGTTTCTGATGTTATAATTTTACTTTATGCGTTTTGATTTCCCAGCACGCTTTAGTGGAAAACCGATGGCAATAAACTACATCAAACTAAGGAGAGGAAGATATCGTTGATTAACAGAATGGAAGAGTGTCACATTTATCCTTTTCACGTGTTCAGAAAAGGAAAGTAATTTTGACTCTCCAACATTATTTCCTTGATTTTTATGTCATTCTATCTAAATGTTCATCAAAATATGGTCATGTGGCTCATACACATGTCGAAACGTCTCATTGACACAAAAAAAAAAAATAAAAAAATAAAAAATACAAACAGCGATCTCTCATTAGTTAAGATCTAGGTTCCAAGTTTTATGTTTGTTCACACAAATGCACAAATGCGATTGCAGCTTATACGTTATGTACATTTTTCATCTTTAAATTATAGTCTAATTTAGATTTTCATTTTGAGTTTAATATGTACACTAAACATAAAGTCCAAACGAGACAATTATTTTGGTTTAAGTTCGTGGGAGTACTGGTAAACTTTTGAATGAATTTTCTTTGTTTATAATGATAGACTGTGAAGTTTCCTTGGAAGTGTAGATCGCACTCACATTCAGGGGGCGGAACTACAAGGTCGGTCGACCCTTCAGCACCAAATTCTCCTATAGTAGAAGCATTTAATCAGTGGGGTTTTTTTTTTCGTTAAAGTTATTTAATCAGTGGTGTACGTTTGTATTTTCATTTGTCGACCCTCTAAAATTACAGTGGTGACTAGCTGAAGAGAAGAAAGGAATAAGATGAAGAGAGATCAGGCCTAGCAATTCACTTTTTATTAGTCCCGAAATATTAAAGTTGGCATTGGATCAAATTACTACAACTAAAGAACAAAGTGAAAACATGATTTTAAAGAGGGTAAGTAGAAGAAATCACAAAATGGCAAATATAATATTCGATCGGGATATAAGTGATTACAGGTGTATTGGACAGAAGTGTAGGGAGAGTAGAATCATTTGGAACCTTTTTACCACACTATTTCGTACTTGGTTATGTTGGTGTGGGAGATTACCTACTCGAGACAGGCCGATACGCATGAACTATATTATTCCATATGTTTTGCGTGATATAATACTAATCATTTAGAAACTATTGATTATTTATTTGAAGATTGTTATTTTGTAGATGATTGTAAAAAAGATTTAGAGTCTGGTTGAAATTGAAAACTTTGTACTTAACTCAAAAAAATTGGAAATAGTGTTGTGTATGGAAAGGATTAAGAATGAAGCAAATTGTATGCATCAATTGCAGCTGCTATTTACTCTCTCGTCAGGTATTTTGGTTGGTCCTAAATTTCATTTAGTATACTCCTGTAAATGAAAATAGAACTTGAAAAATATTTTTATATTTCTAGTTATCTTTCAATTATTAAAAAGTATTTTTAAAGTTTTATTTTCAATTGTAAGAACGCACTACATAAAATTTAGGACCAATTAAAATGCCTCATAATAAAGATTGGAGCGAGTACCATTTATGGAAGAATATAAATCTGACTGTTTTTGAACAAAAGATCCGACAGTGAATATAGTGGTTGGGCGGGAATGATTCATGGTGAGTTAAAGAGGAGATTGATAAACTGTTTCAAGACTATGAAGAGCAGTAAAAAGTAATCTTGAGAAAAATAACTTGATTAGTTAATGTGTGTGATTGTTTTATTGTACAGTATAAGACAGTGAGAATAGATAGGACAAGTGGTTTTGAGTTGGTTTGAATTTATTTTATTGTAGACTCTTTGATTTGCAATACAAAGTATATCATTTACTAGAAAAAAAAAATTAAATTGGCCCAAAGTAATTCAATATTATTCAAAGCATGAAATGTTATAATTTAGGTTGTTAAAGGTTTTAATCTCTTTCATTGTACTTCAAAAAAATTTTCAAACCATATGCAGACAGAAACGTGGTTTGATCACTACAAAAATTTAAGTACTACGAAGGTTACTACACTTATGATAATGTATATAATCGATCATTCTATTAACTTTGGCCGTTAACATTAAAATTTTAGTTAAAATTAAGGGTATTGAACGTCCAATGCAAAAATTACACGTACAATTTATCATCTTTATCTTTTTGGTCCTTCTAGTTAGGATTATTAACGTTTTGCTCATGAAGATTTTATTTTATTAAAAAAAGTTAATTTGACATTTCTTTGTTTTATTTTTAGTATTCTCTAATTTCATTTTTTTAATCTTTTTATTTTTCTTTTATTTTTTCATTTATATTATTTTAATGTCTATGTATAAGAATTAATTTACATTTTTACTGGTGCAAATTACATTTTTTTAAAAAAATTAGTCCTAATTGGAAAAATTCCCAAATGTATAAAAAAAAATTAGAGTTTACAAAATGGTTCCCACTAGTAAATGTTCCAGATTTACTAAATAGACACCAATTTCAAGGACTATTAATTCGGACGGTTCAATCGGTTCGCGTAAAATTTGATTCGGATTAATCAGATTTTTTCTCATACAAGACCCGCCGAAAACCAAACTGCAAAATCAATTATGTCGAACCGAACTGACCGAATAAGCGATCGGGTTTGTCGGTTCGGGCTCCAGTTCACCCGAACCAACACATCCATGAATTCGTGCATAACGCTAACAACATTCATTTCAGATTTTTGTCCCAAAAAGAAGCTCAAATCGGAATTTCATTAGGTTGCAAATTTGCAATGGACCCAAAATAGGCTTTTTTTCAGGGAAAAAAATGAAAAATTCACTAGCATAAATATCAGTTTTCTCTTCAAAAAATAAACAAAACAAATATTTCAAAGTTTGAAGAAGTTTATCCTTATAAAATTTTATCAAAAAGAAGAAAAAAATCAAACAAATAATCCAAAATAAGCCAGATTTATGACCGCAATTGTGATATAAACAAGAGAATTGGAGATT